GAAGGGGGAGAGCCATTGATAGCAATGCCAGCATATGTTTGTTGCTATCACTTTGCTACCACTCAGGCTATTTTCAGGCATCTTTGTTTTCATTGAGAGTGAATACTAAGAGGATTTCGAATTTAACTTGTAGGGATGGATTTACGTATAGCCCATTCAAGAGCATTTCGATTCTTGTTCTCTTTTTGCTGTTTAAAACAAAACCCCCTCCGTGTATTGCTCTCAGTAAAGGCAGAGGCACTCCTGAATAACCCGAAAGGTAGCAAAAACCAACGGCAACCATCCGTTGGCAAGTTTGTTTAAGCCATGCGCAGTTTTTTTTTTCCTGAAAGAACAATTTACTTTTTTTAAAAAATCAGATCAGATAAACTGAAACCAAATGAAATAGAAAGGGTTAAAGGAACAGAAGGAAGGAGGCAGAGATGGTGAAGGAGCAGTTATTTATGCAATACGTTTGAAACATGTGAAGAGGATATGTGCTAAGGAGGAATATAGATATGGTTGTCTGTGTTTCATCCCTAAGTTGTAAACACGGATATTAAGCGATGTGGAGCGGGGTGGGAATCATTTGCTTAAAACATTGCTAGCATTAAACTTGCACTTTTTAAACAACTGCTGTTTCGTTTGTTTAGGTTCTAGCCGGGACTCACGTGCCCGATATCCGCCTTTCACGTCCAGTGGCACTCATCGGCAATCAGTGGTGTCCACTTTTTCTCACAGTTTCGAATTTTTCGACGAGCGTTGCCCGTGTTGTAATTATTCCAGACACAAATGAGAATGACGATTCCTACGTAAAAGTGAGTGTCGAGTTTTTTCACATCAAATATACGTCAGTTAACGTGAAAGTGTTATTTTTTCCTCAACCGTCGTTGAAAATAGATGTTTGATGTGCACAGAAATTTTTGTGGTTCCAGGGTTGATTTTGGCGCGAAAAATTTGACTGTCCCTACGTAAGGCTTAGATCCCTACGTTAGGCTTAGACATGGGGGGCGAAAGGCTGAATTTGAGTTTGTGAGGTCACAACCGGGCAGAGGATATTCTCGTAAAATTTCAACTTCCAAGCTTTTCTGGTTCCCGAGCTGGCAATTTTCGCACCTAAGCTTTCATGTGCCCACACGTGAGAACGCGGCGTACGTGAAGGTTGAATTTAAATTTGCTGGGCCGTACATGGGCAAGAAGTCACTTGCAATAGTATTTACTGATCACATGAAGTGTTTCAGAAATTTTAGGGATACAAACAGTGAATATCCCTTGCTAGGAGATTGGAAGAGAACGGAGGCCTGAAGTCTCCTATTTGTTAACATATTCGGTTTATTTGGTGCTGTTGGCCTACCGTGGAGAAGGAAACAATGGATTTTTGGCAGTTGAGGAGAAACTGGAATTGCCATTTAGAACTTTACTGATTATGTGAATTTTCAGTGTGACTCACCAGTGGTCGAATTATCGATCCCGAATCGAGACGATACCAGCGAATGGGATGATACGTCTGAGAAGTCCCCACCTCCTGCTGTTGACACCGAAGCGTTCGTTTTTTTTTGCATTGCATCACTACAGCGAGATTGCTTGCATTTTGCCGTTCGACAAAGAATCATTTTGCATTTTATCGTTCACTAAGCTGTTACTGCTGGAGAATTGAGGCTGCTTTGCAATTCATCACTCCGCAATGGGCTATGGATGGGAAGAGTTCCGATGCGCTTTTTTCACTCAATAATAAATTTTAACGAGTTCGAAGGGGCGAGGTAAAAAGTGAACAATTTTCTCGCTTTTTCACGCAGTCAACGGGAAATGAAATGGAAATACACTGTTTCTGTCCGCAAAATACGCATCCAAAAATTTTACTTCATTTCCATTTGCGAGTGTAAAATTGATGATTTCTGGTCCACTAAACTGTGTTCGTTCAGCACCGTTGTATTCCGAAAACGACACCGAGTTGGCCTGAGACTCAATGTGTATTCAGTGGAAGGCGAGGACAGGAAACTGGCGCTGATTGTGAAGTACTGCAATAGCAGCAGTTCATTCGAGCCTGCCGCCTCCGGCGATTATACGTGGCTTCAGCATAGGCTTTATATATCATTGGGTCCGGCCATTGCAGCCGCTTCAGCAACTGAAGATGCTTAATCCACTTTCTTCTTTCTGTTTGAGGATATTTTGAAGCTATCTCTACCCTTCGCTTTTGCTATTCTTATACTGGGCTACGCAGGGCACTCAAAATCACGTCTGTACGAGAAGATTTCGTAATGATTATATGTGTTGTGAGCTTTTGTCTATGGCCTTTCTCGTCAAGCTAATTTGTGCCCTCTTCCTCCATGGGATTTATCTTATCCCGGACACTATTTATTGCGCTTTTTTGCCGAATTTTCTCCTTTCGTCCACTACAGTTTTGCATTCTTTCCCACAGAATCGAAAGTGCGCTCGGCTATTGGGTTTATTTTTGTTTATTTTTCTGTGTTTTGGTTCCCACCAGGTGAAATAGTATCTCGTCAGAATGGGATCAAAGCCAAAATTAAAACCCTCTCCCTATTTACCCTCTGTGAAATGGGCAGCCCGATTATTTAGCAAGTGCTAAGAGCAACCGCCGGTCACAGGGCTGTCTTGTGCTCTTTTCCGCGAGACGATGGGTATTTTCCGCACTGACGTTAAGCATCTCATGGCTACCTCCGTGATCTGATAGCCAGTTACTCCGCTCTTTTCCGACTTTGTCGATTGTTAGTGCTTAACACATAAAAAAGAGCTTAGGCAAAATTTTGTTTCTGTGAATTAAACAGTAAGCACAGAGGCCATCAGGTGGAAGTTAGGCTTCGTTATGTCTCTTTACACACCAGTGTCTAAAATCACAGCGGGATAAGTGCGCAGAAGAAGCAGCGAAGGTTTCCCACTTTTCGGAAGCATAAGATAAATCGGTTTTTTTGTGGCGCATTTTTAACTTCAGCATTTTATCGCAACAGCGAACATCTTATAGTACGCATACGAACAATTTCAAATACTATTCAGTGCAGCAATATGCCAAAATCTCTTGCTGATAACACTTGCTGCCTGCAGGACAGAAGAGGGAATTTGCCAACGAATGGAGTTTTATAGTTCTTTACCAATTCTCCATTCGCACAGCTGCGATTCACATTTTTGCGAAATAATTCTGAAATTACTACCTACCGCCAATTAATTATCGCTGCTAGTTTTGCTCCATATTATCATTTTTCATCGTTATAATCATC